GAAACGCGGCCTCGTCGCTGAAAAATCCCGCTTTTCCCGCTCCGCCGTGGCGTCCAGGCTTTTTATATTTTATACAGACCCTCCCGTTCGGCTCCCCTTTCATCCCTGATAAATTACATTCGGACAAACGACTTACGAGCACTTTCTTCTGAAGGGTGCCCATGAAAGTCCCGTTCTTCGTATAAATCGTGAGATTTAGTAGTGGCGATCTGGAGATGTGCTTTTTATTTCGTAACCGTTTACTTCTACGCTGTTTTTAGATTGATATTGTTTAACACTTTGGCTGCCATGTCACCCGAATTCGGGTGACATCGAGATTCACATAAACTTAAATATTACTTGTTTCGGTGATGAAACGAACAAACTGAATTCTGTTAGATGCGAGATACTAGAAAGATAGAGCAATCGTTACGAAGAATATTGACTTCTTAGTTTCAGCGTTACTAAGAAAGTTGCTTTGATTGCGTAGGAGTTTCGATGAGCGTATACTTGGCAGTCAAAGTGTTGAGTTACAGTATCAAATGTTCGCCAAGTCTGCTTCACGACTGTCATGTAATATAAAATAAAGTAAGAAATTCTATTCGAATCGTCGGATATTGATTAAATCAATCCTTTCCCGAATATACGACTTATCCTCTAGCATTTATTCCGTATCCACCCTACATAACACGTGGATCGAATGAGAAGTGGGCAGCGAAGAAGCGAACGCCGCGAGAAAAGAAATAAAAGATCAAGGCGCCAGGATTATTCTCGATCCCCATTCACCGGAACACCTCGACTTCCCTGGAAGTTTTTCAAATCGTAGGAATTACTCCGCGTTCGAGCCGCGTATTATTATTATCTGCCCGCGAGAAGCGAATTCGCGGCGAAGCCTATTCAACCCGAGGCGTGAAACGAGGGCGGGCAGGAAGTTTCGAGAGTTCGCGTCTGAAAATCGTTCGCGGCGGAATTTTCCGGCCGCGGGCAGAGCTCCGGGACGTTATCGTAGGGCAAGAACCACCATCCAACGGGAGCGACTTGATCGATCGCGGTCGCGTCAGCTCCGTTTTTCTGATCGATTCGCGTTCTCCCCCGGGGGGGTGGCGACGGTAGAGGATCGATGGGGGATAAAGGGAGAGGGGTAAACGAGGTATCATCATAGGGCGAAATCGATATTCGTATCGGGTGCGCGAAAATCGGTCGCATGAATTATCGAGAGGCCGTTTGCCCGGTTGCAAATAGACGCCGGCGACGTTCGCCGGGAGGCAAAGGGACCGATTAATTCGATCGGCGATGCAAAACAAGCGGTAGATTCGATTTGCGTGCCCGCCGACCGAGTAAGTCTTCCGCTCCGGCCCCGTTTATTCACGGTGGACAGGTTCACGCAGCCCCGGAAGCACGCGGGCTGATCGATAACGCGCCGCAACGCGCGTGATCAACCGTAGGAACGCGCGCCGCGTCGCGAGCGAGCGAGCGGGCGGGCGAGGGCTCCCGTCTTTTTCTCCAAATCGAATTACACCTGGTCGAGGCCGATTATCCGGAGCAAACGAACCCCGAGCCCACGTGGGATAATTAAGTTAAGACGCCCGGTTAGGAGCGAATTAGGGTTACGAAGGTTGCCGGCGTTAACCGCCAGGCGATGCTCGCCGGCGAGCGAAAAGGCCGTTCCTGCGGGGGAACGGCGACAAAAAGAGCTACCACGGGGAGAGACAAGAATTGGCCGGCTTTTCAAAAGAACCATAAGCACAAAGGGGGCGGCAGCCTTTTTCGCCGAGTCACGCGCGACTGGGAACGGACACCTCGGCGTTTTCATTCGCGCGACGATTGTTGTGGAAACGCTCGATCGGTAGGGGAACGTAGAACGAAATCGAAGGTTTTTTTGTTCGTCCTAATGACAGGATGTCTGGAGCACTTTACGCTGAGTACCGGTATTCCTATTTTTAATATTAGACTGCTAAGGTGTCGCGTTTTGCACCTTTATAATTTAGAAACGCATGTAAAATTCATACACGCGAGATAAAGAAAGAATTTAAGTGCCGAAAATACTGCTCGAGGAACGTAGAATCCAATACCGTAGTTGCCTCGTTCAATTTTTCAATCGGAGGGCAAATAAAGACGCTTCGAACGTCTATGTAACATCCGAACTTCTTCAGTGAATATAATGCCGATGCTTTTAATCGATAAACAACTCACGCACTGTTCCGCAGTCGATCTCGAGCCACATCGGAGACTTATTGCAACCTTGTGACGCGGCATCAACCTGATACGAGCTGTTTATCTATGAAAATATCGTTGTTCAGCTTTACACGCGTATCGTTTCGTTCGATCTTCCCGAGATCGCCCCCGCCCGGTCCCCGCAATTAGAAGGAATCGAGGAAATCGAGCTCGCGAGCCACGCCAACGGTCCACGGGTCCGCCGAGGCAATCACAAGTTTCGGATCAAGTTATTTCCGCGAAACGATCGACGGCATTTACATACAAATCGGCGACGTGCAAAGCGGCCGGTATCGAAGCGTTCCGGATCGCGTTGACGAACGACCGATGTCGAGCGGCGACCACAATTTATTCAATGACTGCCACCACGGCTCTCGATCGATCCCGAAACGAAACGGCGTGGCGTGGCGTGGCACGTCGCGACGCGGCCGATTGCGTAACTGGTCCGCGAGCGACGAACGCTCGCTCGATTAAGCTTCAACCTGTCACCGATAATTCGCCTGGTAATTATGATCGAAACGGAGAGAGGACGATAGAGAGCCGTGAGCCGAGAGCTACGGTTCTCCCTTGCCGGTGATCGGTCGACCGGGCAATTCCCTTTGGGAAGTTTAACGATATACCGATACAGTTCTCGCAACGTTACGTCGACTTGCTCCTCAAACGGCTCGTTATTTATTTTCATTTTCAATTGCAGTTTATTTCCGTGCGACCGTGTACGACCGACGTTTCGCGTCGCTCCTGCGCGTTTCCATCCGCCCAAATTTCCTACTAAATATCGCGACCCGTTCTCCTGCATCGCGCACAGCGTTATTACACTCTCCAGTCACCGGAACTCTGGCCGCGAGCAGCTTTTTCATTAACGAAAAATTCGTGCGCAGCTTTTCTGCTTAAACTTTCCAGTATACGGCGGAATATATACGGCGGTCTTACGCGTTTCCTTTCCCGCGATCTTCTTCTTCCCTTTCGGTTATTCTGTTTTCGGTAATGTTATTAAGATAACGCTCGCGCCGCCTCGTGAATTATTACTTGTTTCGTCGTGTATCTCGTTCGCAGTTGATTCCCCGGTAACCGGTCTCCACGGGACCCTACCCCTCAGGCCGCATAATCGGAATACAAATGCGGAGCGGCGTTTATAGGTTATTCAATTACATTAACCGCGATTACGATTATTACCGTATTTGATTTACCGAGAACGCGCGGAGAACGTTCCCTGCGAGCGGCTAAGATTCCGTATAAAATTCCTGAGCGACGCGGGAGCCGATACCGTGGAAATATAACGGGGGCTCCGGGGCGTGTGTCGAAGCGGCGGTATATAAAATAACCGGACGTTTTTCGGATAAGACGCAGGGAAAACTATGCGAGGAAGAATTCCTTTATCCCGACCCGGCCGGGCGGGTCGATCCGGCGAATCCGCCCTGGTAATCGAATTTCCAAGCGAACCGGGAGCCGCCTAACGCTGCTCCTGATTTCTCGTTAAGGGGACGGACTAACTGGCTCGCTTTGTGCGCTCCTCTTCTTTTTTGTGGTACTGACGCTAACATGCTCGAGCGCTCCAATTTTTACACGTTGATCGCGGCACGGTGTGTATTTCAGCCTCGGTGCCCCGCAGAGCACGGTCGAGCGAGATTGAGCCCCGCGCGCGACACTTTTATCCCGCCGAGGAATACCGGCCTCAATAAACTTAGCCACGCCATCGATCCGCCCGATAAAATTCGATTCTAATTGGCCGACGCGTTTCCGGGAGCGGCGCGCCGTCCGACGCGAGATAAACGGAAGCGCGATAAAACCCTGTCGGGCGTGGATCGTCCCTTCGGACGTCGCTATCGGCCGATCTCGCGGCACCGCGGGAAGAGGATTGCACGAGGGGACACAAAAATGTGCGAGATCGCCGCGATAATCCCGCGAACTTCGAGCCTCCAGACGGGCTGGGGTAGATAACCGTTATCAGCGGCGGCTGTCGATGTTGCCAGCCGAGACACCGGACCGGTCGTTCGGGGCTCGACGGACGCTGTCGCGGCCGAAACGCGGAAACGACGACGAAGAGTTCGCTAACGATGGAGAGGCTGCAAGTTCGGCCTTGTCCTCGACAATTCATCCAATTAGGAAATTTTTCTGCCCGCCTCCGCGCACCGTTTCGACCCGCTTTCCGCCCGCGGGAACGAGTCCGCCGCTCCCCTCGGTCGGGGTGCGTTATGGCGGCTTCCGGGGGAGGCGGTGGAAAAAGCAGCTCGCACAGCCGGCAAAGTGAATTCCAACCCGGCGGTCTTTGCCGCATTTCCATCGCGTGTTTTCCGGCCGTTGCGTTTATCAACGGAACACGGAATGCGGGTTACAAAGTGTTCCACGGCGGCTGTCCTCCATCCGAGCCTCGCCGTCTTGCTTTTTCCCCGCGGCGGGCCGTGCTTCATTTTCTTAATTTACTTTCTCACGGTGCCCTCGTAACCAGCCCGCTCGACGAACGGGGAAAGATGCCACCGCGGCACGCCTGACACAGCTCATCTACCATTACGCGCGACAGCGTTTAGCAAGGCGGACGATTATCTCGGTACGCTTTTTCTCAGACGCTTTTCTCGAGAGCAATTCTAATTACGCGTTTTACGGCGAACCTCCTTGAAGAGGATCCCAGCGTTGTCTCTGGATATATTCAAATATTTACCTACCAGAATTCTTCTCGAATCTGCTGATCAGTTATATTTGTAAATAATTCGCGTGGCATTTATCGAAAGAGAGAAGAGAAGACGAAAAGTTCGAAACGAGAAGGTCCGAACGGACACGTAGAAAACAGGAGTTAATCGAACAGAACTCACTTAAGGTACACGGTGACGACGAACTGCGCCCTGCCCTCCCTGGAGTCCGCGGGTTTGGCCGGGTGGAGGAACACCGGTACGTGTAACCTGGATCTCGGGTACAACGGTCCATGAGGGACCAACAGAGTCAACGAGTCGTCGACCTTGAGCTCCTTGTACTCCGCCCGGTTCGGGGCGAGCGGTATTTGTCCGAGGGGCGTGACGGGCTGAATCTGTACTCTGGGCCTGCAGAAGCCGGTCCCGGTGTCCGCGGAGCCGATATCCTCGGTTCGCGGCTCGAGCACGGAGTAGGCGACCTGCACGAGCCTTGGCAGGCTCTTGGCGACCTTGACCCGGCCGGAAGCGTCCGGAGGTGGTAACGGTGCCCACCAATCGGCGGGTATAGTGATCTGCGCGAGGCACACTCCGTTCTCTCCATCCGGGCTGCAGGCAGCTGTCAGGGCGGACGTCGTGGAGAAAGAAGAAGAATAAGAGGAGGAGGAGGAGTACGAGGACGAAGAGGAGGAGGAAGGGGAAGACGCAGAGGTGGAGGCGGAAGAGGAGGAGGAGGAAGAGGAGGAGTAGCTTCTACCGTTGTTCCTGTTGGCGGTGCTTCTGGCTGGGGTAGCTAGACTCGCGTGCAGAACAACGCAGACCCTCTGATGCCGGGCCAGGAGCAACTGACGCCTTCCGCCCGCCTCGCTTCCGGCATGAAAGAGCACTCTGAGCACCGGCGAGTCACGCGGCACGCTGCTTCCAACCAGATGAGCCGACATGTCCAGGTGACGGGCGCCGAGCTCTTGCGCGTCCAGTATCGTCGCCGCCGTCAGGTTCCGTCTCGTTTCCGGTCCCGGGAGCGTGTCCAACGGATCCGGGACTATGTAGCGAGCCGGCACCGTCTGCTTCGTGCTGAACGGCCCGTACGTCGCCCGGACCGAGACCGGCTCGCTCGTCTGGAACACCGTGAACTTGTCTATCGACAGAACGGAGCCAGGCGGAGCCGACGATACCCCGTTCCCCACCGACGTAGCGCCCGACGACGATCCACCTCCGCTCGTCGACGCGGGTATCGCCGGGATCGACTCCCCCTGCGCCGGGTAGAACTGCTTCGGCGTGTGCTTCAAGAAGAATCCGCCGTCCTTGTTCTCGAAGTGAACTTCCACCGAGGCCGCCACGTCTGAAACGAAAGGATCGTTGGGTTTAGCACGTGCGACCGTCACAGAATCGAACACGACAGCTCGAGGAATCGTCTCGGTCTATCGTTCTAAGATGAAACCATAAAAATCCGCGTTTCGTGGAAATCGATGGGAGATTTTCACTTACGCTCTACAGAGTACCGGGGAGGTAATGGAAATATTTTGAAATTACCGCGAGTGATTCTCGGTAATTATTAATTACCGCTGACCCACATCCGCGACTCGGCTGATTACAGCGGGTTGTAATTAACAATTTTACAATGCAGAGTGCCCGGTAATCGTATCGACAATTACGTTTCAATTATTAAAGTGTAATCGGATTACATTTCGTCGGAGTCCGTTAGCAGGACAGCAACGGGCGCTCGTCATCTCCGCGCCGCCCCCCTCCAGCGACGAGCGACGCGGGTCGCGCGCGCGAAGAAAGGGATTTTAATTATCCCGCTCGCTCCGTACGAGAATTCGCCTCGCGGGCGAACGCGTGTTACCTTTAACGCGGTCCGCAGACCCGCCGGACGTCACGGAACGTTTTCATTATGCCCGGGTAATTTTCCGAATTTATATCCGCATCGAATTAACATAGAAATGAAGTCTTCGTCGCGTGTGCGTCTCCGTCCGCCGACCACCGGGTAGACCATCCTTCTGCTCTACTTCCTAAGTTCCACCCTCGGTCGGCTTATTACACGGGGGAGATTGGTCCGAGGGTGGCGAGGGGAGCGCGTCCCGAGGAAAATTTCCCGGATAGAAGTTCGAGTGGAAAGTCGTGTCGAAATATCAACGATTTCCAGGGCGTGCAGGTGACCCGCGCCCGTGTGTGCTCTTACACCGCGCTATTTTCCTCGCGGTATCGACGCTTCCTCTCACACCCTCTTGTCCCTGCCACGGATAAATCGGCGAATTCGTGAGCCCCGTCCGATCGCGAGGCGGAACGCCGCGCCGGGGATCGTTTCGGTAAGTCGCGGGCGAATTTTCCCCGCTGAAACAAAGTTCGCGTACTTTGGGGCCGCGCTCGCAAAGTCCGCACAGCTGAACGGAGAAGTTGTAAATCGGCGGGACGGGGGCGGGACGGGGCGAGGCGCGGCGCGGCACGACTGCGCTCGATCCGGACATAAATTTCCGGGGAAATCCTCCATTAAGCGCCAGCTGCCCGTACACCCTCACCCGTAAAACAGAGGAAAACGCGTGGAAAGGTGAGGCCAATTCAGCGTTCCGCTGCCGCTTATCGTTCGCGTTACCTGCTCGTTGCTCTCCCCTCGCCGAAACGACTCTTCTTCCTCCATGCGAGAGGAACAGAGGCGAGAACGTGTTTAATTCGTTTACGATCGTTTACAGTGTCGCGAGATCCGTCCACTGGGACTCCGCGCTGGAAAATCGATCGTGTACGCCGGAACGAGACCGTTGTACGCGAGATTCTTCGGCGTTACACGTACAAAATGTACGGTTCACCCGACTTTTTGATCGGGAATACCGTACAAATGGCTAGAATTTAGACAAGTCCTACCATTCGTACTGCAACGATGTCCACGTTGTACTCGAGCAACGTCGAAAGCTACCGAGGAGGATTCAAAGCCTGACAAAGGATGTTGTCATCTCGGAAATTTAAGAAATAATGAAACCTAGCGAAAGAAAATTTTATAAACGGAAAAGTACAACGTGTCTCTTGTTTAAATTCTATTTCGCTGTTTTTTAGTGCTTCGTTATCTTTTCAAGGGACGGTTTCACCGTTTCAAAGAGAAATTCGGCATGAGAGAGAAATTGTAATGTATTAAATTACACCCACTCTGCTTACAAACAAATTTTAAATTACTGGGATCGATAACTTCCCTTGTGAATCAGGATTCTCTTCGAATTGACCGAAACTCGGCCCACTATTCCGAGTAATTGCTCGGATAGTATTCTGATTCGGTTGTCCTGCACGTGCAGCCGGCGACAGGGTGTGTCTGCTCGAAGCATTTTGTGGGCAGTGCGTTGAAATAGGCATAACCCACGACACAGGAGAGTTCCTCAGACATTGGAGGAACTCCGTGACGCAGGCACAATGCACCCTGCCCGTAACAAATCGGCGAATTAACGTCCGGCGTCGATCAACCGTTCCCGATCCCGTTCCCGTGACTCCCGTGCACGTCTCGCGCGAGAATCACGCGCGGAGAAGCGGCTTTCGTTGATCCCGACGCGGCCGCCCGTTCGATACTCCGCGGAGTGATTCATACGAGGCTACAACCGAGCCGACACGCCTACAACTCGGGCGCAATTCCTCACCGAACGTTGGACACGCGGTCGGAAAAAATCCGCGTGGACATTCACGCGAACCCGGCATTACGAGGATCGTTAACGGTCGCGTGGATCCGCTCGAGGTTTTTCGCGTCATTTCCCGCACTACTTTCATACGCCTTTGATAAAAAATTGAAGGAAAGTTGGTTCAACTCGGTGTTTTCACCGTTAACCCTTTGAGTACCGTGGACACGTACGAATCTTTCGATTTGAATCTCACAGCTGCTACGGTGGCAATTATAAATGTATACGATTAACACACGTGTTCCTTGGTACTGTTCAATTTGGCGAAACCGAGGAATTATAATTCAATTACAATTTAATTCTAGGAATTAACATAATTCATCGATCTCCAGATCAGCGAAAGAATATTGCGTATTCAGGGAACATCTCGGCTGGCAGTATTCAGCGCTCGAAGAGCTAACTTAGAGGAACGCTGCAACGAGACACGCGAAGCAACCGTTCCAGCGATGTAGACGCGTTTCTTGGCATTCATTCTTTCAACGAACGAGGAATGATCGCATGGTAGGAAACACGGACGGTTCAGCGACCGGGTCGTTAGATTTCGAGACCGCGGGCAGCTTCTTTGCAGGGAAAACCGTGCAGCGGCTAAGTAAAAAGCACCCGTCCGAGGAAGAAGAGGAACTAATTTAAAGAGACTACCGCCCCGAGACACGACCGCGCCGAATGGAAGTTCCTCCCCGGCAAAAGAGCGACCGCCGGCGGCCGTGCGCCGCGGCCAACAAATTCCGGGCGAACATCGAGGACGAGAGGAAATATCAAATTTAGAAAAGAACCCGGTTTACACTAGCAGGATTCGTCGAGTCGTACGTGGTCTCGCCAGTTAGGACCGTGTCGTTGCACACGCGGCAGCAGTAATCGGTTACGACGGATTGCCCGGCATCGCCATTGTTCCTCGCCGCGTCGCCGGCTCCGCGCCATTTTGTCGGGAAGTAACGGCGACACAACGAAATTGTAGGAAGTTCGTCGCACTCGTATGCGGCGCGCTGCGCCGATTACGTTTCGATCGTTTTATATAATCTTCGCTCCCGTGGCGCCGCGTCCCACTTACATGGCACTATCTCGGTGAACGTTCTGCAGGTTCTTCGCGTGAATTCGGGGTAGTTTGCCAGCCATGCGTGAACCGTGACGTCGGGGAACAGCCACCAGCACTGAGAATCAACCAGGATCCTAGAATCTTCGTCGTTCTCTGTACGGGGAAAAGAGGATACTCTGCGTCTGAACCCCGAGCTTCGCTTCCATCTCGCGAGAAGTTGTGGCTTTTAGATTTGAAATTACATAGACGAATCCTTTCGATATTCTCTTTATAAGTTCAATGATAGTTACAAACGTGAATCCTTATGGTATTGTTTTTATAACTTTAATGATGATTGGTTCGACGATAACGTGGTTCGTTCTTATTACTATTTTGCCATCGTGAGAACCAGAAAACGCGTTGCGGCGAGATGGGAAAAATCACGGCTCCTACGTCAGTGTCGAGCGAAGACGTACCTTAAAACCCGCGAGCCGGAGAGCCTCTTTGGGAAAATCGAGAAAGAAGAGAGAAAAGCGGTTCCTTCCGGCGGTGTTCAAGAAGGAACGGGAACACGCGGTGCAGCACTTTTTCCGGGACATATATATGTATGCGGAAGAACGGCGATTGGTGGGTTACGTTTAATCCTGGGAAACTCGGACGAATCGGATAACCTCGGCGATTCCTCGACAATCGTCCGACAAATCGTGAAAGATCGTAACTACATTGTCCCCGTTAGACAAAACCGATTCACGGCCGATCATTAGGCGATACAATTGATCCTATTCTTCCGAAGATCGTTATCGCTCGCCGATTTCACGCATTTTTATCGCGTTCGGTAGCGGCGATCAGCCGCGATCCCCACGGCGCCATTGAAAGTTGCAGTGCCAGTCTGCAGCGACCACCGCGGCAGTCGACGTGTTAACGATTGGTCGATGTAATTTATGCGGCGAGTTAAAAGGCAAACAGCCGCGGCGTTCCGACCGGGTTAATAACGTTTCCAGCCGCGGAATGAAACGTACGCGCGGACCTGGAACGCTTCCATGTTTTATAGCCGGACATGAATTATTCCGGATCCAGGAGAAGTATTCCTCCGGTCCGAAACTGAACCGTCATCGTCAACGGTGAATAATCGCGCGCGAGTCGGAGGAATCGAGAGTAACGAGGCGGTATAAAAATACATCCTAGGCATCCGTATCCACCGTATCGGTCAACGCGACACGGTTAACCCCATCCCACTTCCTCCCACCGACAGTTCAATCGTCGTCGACATCGTCCTCGGAATTCTCTTGCAACTCGGGACACAGGAAGTGTCTGATGTTCCGGGGACCGACCATTCCTTCCTGCCTGCGGGCGCAGTCCGCCAGCCACAGTCCCACGGCAGTGACACGTTTCGCCGAGACCGGTGGACCGATTCCAGGCACTCGAACTACCGTCTGCAATCGGCCTTCGTCCGCTTCATTTCTCATTCTCTTGAGAAACTCCTCGAAAGGATCAACCGGCGGCGGCGTCGCCTCGCGGGACGCTTCGCGAACCGGCTCGAGACACTCGCAAATACCGCGAAGTATGTCCTCCAGCCCGATCGGTACATAATCGTCCTCCTCCTCGAACACCGCCGGACTCCTCTCGCCCCGTTCCCCGCTCAGATCCGAGTAGAAACTATCCGGGGTGTCCGCTGCGCTGATGTCCGCGAGATACGCGCGCGAGTCCACGAGCAAATCCCTTCGCCGCTCGAGCGTCGGCTCGGATTTCGATCTGGCCGGCTGGTCCGTAGGCTGAAAAACCCGCACATCGTGGAGCACGATTAATTTCTCCGTTCGATTCGGTGGGTAAACACGGCCACGGTCGGGAAGCGATTGGCCGATCGGGGAAAAAGCCCGGGATTTCGAACGAGCGGCGCGAGCAAACAACGAACTCGTTTCCACGGGAAAATTAAAGGGACCGACGAGTTTTCCAGTGCTCCTCGGGTCCGGGAAATCAGATATTCCATCTGCGCGGGGTGTATCGCGGCCCGCGGCCGACTTAATTAAGCCGCGGAACTTTGATCGACCGTCTGCATTTTTCATGCGACCCGTTATCGGCCGTGTACCGCGGCCTGCACTCCGAGCCCTTCCCCTTAATTACGAACCTCGATGCTCGCTCCGTGTTTCGGGGGCTTCAGTGGATGGATCTCGACGCCCTCCAGGGGCAGCCCGGCGTCGTCGAGCTCGGATTGCCTCGCGTCGAAGTCGTAATCCTTCAAGACCGTTAAGATTCCCGAGGATCGGCTCCTGCTGCTCGCGGTCACGCGGGAAACCCGCGGCCCCGTGTCCTCCTGCTGCGCCCAAGTTCGATTGAGAGTGACACCTTCACCCTGGCGAGTTCGCGTGACGACGAGAAACATGTCAGAGAAACGTCGATCGCTTCGCTGTAGGAAACGATCGGAGTTCCATCGATCCCGACAACTCGTGCACGGCAGTTTCGGCCCGGCAATCGGCAGCCGGCGTTCTGTAAATTTGCGCGGCTCGTTTCGACGCGCGTACACTAATTATCTCCCGGGCCGCCGTCCCAATAGCGCGATTCCATTCGCGCGGGTGCGTTATTAACGAAATTATATTTGGTTATCGTCGCGGGGGCGGCTCGGGCGGAGCACTCGATTTCCACTCAAACCTTTTCCGTTCCATTAATCGCGGTCGGACGCAAATGGCCCGAAAAATGAGTCGCGGCGAATACGAAGTGCTGACCGACTCAATGAGTCCGATACGAATCGAAAGTTTCGTTTAAACCCTCGTCAGCTTCGACTATTTGTACCGACCGCTTTCGATCGCGTTCGGAAATGTTCCTAGGGAAATCGATCGAAGTGTGAACGAACCCCGGCATCGACCGCCCACGAACATGTTATTAACAGGCGTCGAAGGCTAATCGCGACGCGGGGGAAGATCAAAAATAGCGTACGCCCCCGCGAACGAGAAGACGCTTCTCGAAGTTCGCAGAGTTCGATGCCACCCCCGTAATTTGGTGGGACGAGCGTACGCTCGTTTTTGATTCTCCGTGTACTTTCCTCTCCCAATGGAGCGGGGACCATTGTCGTCGGTATCTATCGGGATTTTATCTATTCCGTGAGCGACGCGGCAGCTACCTCTTCCTCCCGTTCCTCCTCGTCGACGTCGGCGCACGGGACACGGTATGAACTCGAGTGGGACGTGCCGGTGGAGGTCTCGTCGGCTCCGGAAGTCGGGTAGCACGGCTGAAAAATCTCCTCTGCGTCTTCTCGGGTGCAGACGGCGCATAGCCGCTCGCCGCTGCAGTCTAGCTCCGCCAAATACCCGTACAGACGGAGGAACGTGGTCGCAGGTATCATCGCCGATCCGCCTTCCGGCTCTTCCGTCAGCAATTCGCACACGTATATCATCGTTTCGAGCAGGTCCTGCGCGGCACAAAGGGGGGGCGGGCGCCCGTGAATCGCCGCGAATTGTAGCCGGCAACAATGGCTGGTGATTAATTTCATTCAACCGGCTAACGATGATTCATCGATTCGCATTAAAGTCCGCGAATTAAATGCCAACCCTCGGACACCGCCGGGGAGCTTATGTATCCACCGCCGCGGCGAACAATGCTCGTGGAACCTTCTTGGAACGAACGGAAATCAATTAGCAACAGTTTCGGCCGATTTTACGGGAACTCCGAGGGTATTTGTCAAAGATGAGGAATAGAGGAACGCTCCTGCTACCTCCGAACGACATAAATCGCTCGGAGGGATGTCATCGCCCTTGCAGGATTATTTCTCGGTTCAATGAAGTTTGAGGTCTAACGATGTTTTAAGGGCTAAAAGTGGAGCACGACGGGGATAGTCGTTGATCTTCGAGGGAGGAAAAAAGTGAGGGAAACGTCTTCGTCCGAGGTAGATTACGTTAATACCGGCGCGCGATAAAAAAGGTCGCTTCTCCTTCATCGATCACGGCTCACGGTGGCTCGTGCCGGCGAATCGATTAACGACTCCTCTAAAAATATCTTTATAGGGAGCCGATGAAGATCACGCGCTGAGGATGCAGTAGAGGAAGGAGAAAGAAGAGAGCGAAAGAGAGAGCGAGAGAGAGGGGAAGAGAGAACGAAAGAGAGAGCGAGATTACAGGCTGACGCTCTATTTTAGGTATTCCATGGGAGAATGTCGCGAGCGGGCTTCTATTCTCGGCCCAGACGGTTTACCTTGCCTAAGAATCCGCAAGCGATCGCGAGGAATTTGTAAAAGTGACATTCTGCTTTGCACTCGAATCGACCGACGAGCAGGATCCGGTAGAGGCTGGCTTCGGGCAGCGCCATGCCTTGCCATCTTTCCAACAATGTTCTGGTGCTGATCTTCTCGACGGGACCGAACGCGTTCAAAAGGGTCCTCAGGTATCCAGGCGTGATACCAGTCGGATGCTCGAAGGGAGGATACTCCAGCCTGTCCTGAGAGAACAACGCGCGGTGTAACGAGTCACGGTCGCCGAGTGTGTCGATGATTGGCGGAAAAGTCGGCGCGTAACCCGTTCGCGTCGAGGGAAAATTCCTAGCGAAGGGGCCCTTGGAAATCGGAAAACCCTACGTATAAAGCGAATCATCGCAATGGCGGATCGATACCGAAAGAGCTCGGGAAGCTCGAATAGTTTAATCATCCAGCGCTGAACTTGTGTAGGGGACGCTAAGTGGATTCATTTCATGACCGCTTTTCACCCAGTTAATCAACTTTAATGTACATCTGCTGTCCCGCGAGCGCATCGATCCGCTTCGCGCGAATTATCGTCACGCTATTGTCCTCGGGGTTTCTATTTCTAGTCTCCCCGCCTATTTTCAGATTTCGTTCCGAGCCTGCGATCGCCAGGAAAATATCATTAAGCTTCCTCGATGTATTGTTCGCTCAGATGGAAAAACGCGAAAGTGAAAACGCACTCGGAGCAGGTGAACCGATCGGGAGAGCACGAGTTCGCAGGTTAAGGGAGGATCGCGTGCCGCGCGCGGACGTTTCAGAAATAAGTGCGCCGCCGGTGGATTCGAATTTTACCCCGGACTCCGCGTCGCCCGAGCGGCGCGTCCGTTAACTTACGCTCGCCCGACGTCCCGTTCGTTTCGAGGCTGACGTCGGGGACAAATCTAGATGTACAAGCGCGCGGGGAATAAAAATATCACCGACGATATCCCGGCGTAATCCTTGGAGTATTGTATCGGGTCACGGACGCGGTCTGTCTCGCGGACGAAAAATCTCGCCGCCGCGGCTAGAGGAATAGGAGGATCCGATAGTTCAAGGCTCGAGCCGTTGCGTTACATTCGCGGCGGGTCACGGACGTCGTGCATAATGCATCGGCGCGCCGATGGAAAACAGATCGGCGAGCGCGGTCGAATGAATTCACAGCGACAAGTCCGATTAACCGATTTAATTGTTCCAGAGGCAGTTTCGGCCGGCATTTATCGAATCCCCGCGGTCGAGTCTTTCGACTGGTTCCGATGGGTTCGGCCCGAAACCGACGGGAATTGATGGCGTTCGCGGAAAAGCCCGGCGCGCCGACGAAAATTCCAGGATCACCGGCGGCGCACCGAACGCTCCGCCGTTCCTCTCCGTTGAGTTACTGAAACTTTTACGATCGCAGTCGGCGATTGCCCGATACGATTAAGACGGTCCTGAAGATGTAAGCCAGCCGGTCCGACCCTGTTAATTCCGGCCGGATAATTAAATTCCCCCGGTCGGATTGATTTACCTATCTATCCACTTAATTGCGAGCGGACGGAACGCAGGAAATATATATGTGCGCGGCACAATGGGAGCAATGAAAAAAGATTACGGTTAACGACGCCACTCGAGGCGAACGAGCCCCGCTGAAACCGACTTTAATCAACCCTTTGTAAGATAATAGGGACGCGGAAAAGACACGTTAACCGCGACAGCAACGCTCCGAACGAAACCGGGGACGTTCGGGATCGAACGAGCCGGCCGAATTGCTTCCCGGTTTTCCCTCGACCCGCCAACGGTATTATTTTCCTAGGTATTTCCCATCCGAATGGAAATCCAGTTTAGTTACTTCTATCGAGCCAGAGGGGATTGCGCGTGCAGCTCGCGCGCCGGCAGCGGAGGAATGCTCCCTCCGCGAGACTGTCTCGTCGAAGTATCTCGAAAAAAGGATTCCAATAGAGAAATTACTTGGAAGACGCTGCGCGGTTTAAGATCGATGGAACCTGTTTTATTAAAATTCGTACGAGTTATCGTTGAGAACAACGGAGGAAATCGGGAAGGAGAAATATTTGTGTGGCATTCGTTAATCGCAATCCCCGTTTCACGCATTTCACCGTGTTTTACTGATGAAATATCACCAGTACCTTTCTTTGAAGATTTTATCAACAAGAAACAATCATTTTTCTGGAAACTTCTCAAGAGTAGTTGTTTCTGAGGCAAACTTGGTTGATAGGTTAAAGAATGATCTGGGCGTTTACTTTAACCGGTGGCAACTGCCGATTGGCGAGGGCGCGGAAGTAAGCGCAGGTCCATCGCAGAAGATCGTACGGCTGCGTGCGAACCGCGGCTTTCGCGTACACCTTCAAAATGTTCGGGAACGTCGGCGGAATCTTGATCTGCTCGGCGCAGTAAATCACGTCGTCCGACATGTTTGACGGGGAGGAAAGGGGACGAGCAACGACTCGTTGCGATTCGATCGCCCTCTCGAAACTCATTACCGTCGCGTCTCGCCGCGAGTCGCGAAGGGAATTTCGAGAGAGACTTCAAGCCGAACCCTTAATTTCGACTCTTTGACGCTCGAACGTTGACGTTTTTCGACCGATGTCGGCAGCCTTCAAACCTGTTTACAGATGCATTCCGTCAGCCGAGATCGCGACAGAAACCCAAACCGAGGGAAGTTTCTCATTTTCTCAAACGCGAGTAATTAAACCACCGGCTTCCGCGGCCCATATTTAATTTCAAGAAACCCTCAACAGGTTGCTCGCATTCTTGTGAACACATGTAAACTATCCAGGATAGCGGCGGGAGTCTCTTGGAGCATCTGTCGCGACACTTGTTGAACGCTGAGCAAGCGGAGTATAATTTGAAATAAATAACTGGCGATGCGAGCAAATAATTAAACATATATGTTGCAACCGCGGAGTCGGCAAAGAGCATTTCTCATTTTGCTCTTGTTTCGCCCGCAGTTCCCCATACTGTGATCCAATTCCTCCGATCGCGCCTTACACCCGATAGACGGAGTCATGGAATCAACGAGAGGGTGTATTTATTATTTACACTGTCGCTGGAAAAATATCGCCCCTAGCCGAGAGCTATTGGACGGACAAATATTGAGCCACGAGTTGATCCGGATGAAAGACGGATATTTATCTTTTCTCCACTTAAATTTCCCGCTCGCCGGTAATAACGTACGTCGCCTTCGCGCACCTACACGCGAGACCCGAACAATCCTCAACCCCGTGCACGAAGACGGACCGGTTTCACCGAGAAATATCGAGGGGAACACCTGTAGAAAGTCTCCTCGCAGTTTCACGCGTACACACGCTTCCGCGGCGCGAGTTTACCTTCGGATTCCATTCCGCCGCTCCGTCCGAAATGAAGGTGTCCCATTGTGTCCCGCGAATCTTTCAATTCCCGGCCCCTTTGTGCGACCGTGGCGCTTCTCCTGCCGGAGAATGATTCCGATTCATGGCCCATGAAAAGTCGCGTAAATCGGCGCGACAAAGGAAACAGGGGGGGACACACGAAAACCGAGGAAATCGTCCCCGGGTGCGCGGCGACCCCTCGAGGCGCGCGTCGAACGTCGGCAAAGACTGCCGATTGTCGAAGCGCCCTTTGTCTCTATTATTAGCCCGTTATCGTGACCGTGGTACGGTTACGTATACTCCGGCAGCTCGTACACATTATCGTGCTCGCACTTGCAAAGATCTCGTTCGGATGCATAATGAATCACTCGCTCCAAGGGAGCGGATGGTTGCCGCCCCCTGCCGCGCGGCTTCTCCCTTCCCGGCACCCCATCCGCTCGCTGTCTCCTTTCCACCCTTCGCCGGCCCGTCTCTCCGATTCTCTCCCGTTATCTCCGTCGAAACCATGGCCACCAGACCGGCGAGGTCCTCCGTCTCTCTCCGATGACTACTCCCGACGTAATGGCCGGGAATAGTTTCCGATCGATCGATCGCGACGAGTGCTCTTCAGCCGGCGTTCGAGTACGGAAAAAGGACACCCCTACACGCGAACAAATCCACCGAGCCGCAGAGCCGCCTCGAACCGCCCGGAATATAGGGCTTTCCCCGTTCCTTCATTTCGCCGGCATGAATATCGAGAGCGAGCACCAATGCGAACGGAAGCAATTCCAATGTCCCCTGGGAATGGCCTTGGCATCGCTGCCTCCCTTGGACCAATGGCGAGCGCAGGGGAGACCGAGCACCCACGTTGAATGCACCGGGATACGGGAAAATAATCAGCGTCGTCCTACCCGGCCGATATTGCTCTTTGACTCGCCGTCCGAGTCCTGGAATTAGGCTGCAATTACGCTGAACGCGTATTCGGGGACTGGCATTCCGGTGAATAAACATTCGAAGACCGGTGTAGGTTCCCTTGGGAGATGTATCGGTGTTTAACGGGGTGGTACGGGGCAACGGAGGACCTCCGTTGTGTTTTATTGTAAATCTGATGAGAACCGATCAATTAGATCCACGTTCCTGGCGGGGGAAGTTATCGATCCTGGAAATTCAACAGATTGTGAAACTTTGTGTACACTTTGAAAGTTGAAACTACCCTCTGAAAATGAAGAAATTTTTCTTCTATCTTATGGATTATCTTGAGAATGTTAAGAGATAGCGAATAAACGTTGAAACGAAATAAATTGCTCTTCCACGTCTACAAAATTGCGGAGTAACATTTTTCCGGAAGGACTGGTGACGGGGTTATTTCATTACGTTGCAGCGTTCCAGGTTCCCTCGTCAGTCTAGCCACCGAGTGATCTTACGGTACATTCTCAGAAAGAATACGTTTGATTGTTCCGTAAGCACTGCAACCGGAGCCTTATTCAGACCGAGGTCTCGCGTTTCGTTCGGCGCAGCTACCGCGAGTAACCGGCCAAAAACACGGAACCGCTCATCCTCCGTAACAAGATAATCTCTCCCTTTCCGCAACCTGTCCGCCAGCGATACGGTCCCGTCAAAACAGGAATCGTTCCCGAGCGAAGGAAAAAGAACGCAGTGGACCGAAAGTCGGTCGCCGACCTTTAACCCTTAGATAGCCGCGCGATACAGCGAGCGGCGCACAGATTCCCTTGCCAAATTTCGTTTCCCAGACCCGTGATTTCTCACCGCAGCTGTTCCGCGACAGGATGAGAGTACAGCCGGGCAGCAGCCACGTGTTGATCTGGTGTCCTGACGAACCGCGCGATCCGAATGCAACTTATGAAACGAGATCGTTTCGAAAAATAGGGCTCGCGGTAAGGGAATATCGCGGAGCGAAACACGAGCGAGAAAGTTTTAATGAAACGGGAACGACGAACCCGTCCGTGCTGATCGTCAAAGTCGAAGCGAAGTTTCGGAACCGCCAATTTTTATTTCCCGGGACACGCGGTGCCTCGATTATCGCGGCATAAATTAGCCGGTCGCGCGGAACGTCGGCGCGGCGATTCTTATCGCGGTAACGCGCGTAGTTCGCGCGAATGTGCCGGCTGTAGGCGGCCGCCGGTCATTAAACACGGGAAAGAAACTCGCCGAGGAACGTATTTAATCGACGGAGAGCGGGTGTGATCGATCGGGCACGTTCGCCGCGCAACGGCCGAAATAAAATCCTCGGAGCCGGTCGCAAAAAGTTAAGTGCCGATCGAAACGGTTCGGAGCGGCCCGCGAGAAGATTGATAATCCGGGACAAAGAGACGTGCTAAGATGTATCGGCGAACGTGCCTGATCGGCTGGAAACATCGGAAGTAGATATCATTTTTTTTTCAGTGTAGGAGATCGAATAGAGGATCATCGGAAGTGGTTAATTCTAATTCATTAATAAGCTTAATTTTCGTCGACGTCGCCTACGCGCGGGACGTGTTCGCAGCGTCCGATTAGTCGTTTACGATTAACAGGTTAATCTTCTCGTCTTAATCGGAGCCGATCACGAGGTCCCAAGCAGCCGATCGCGAGACCGAGGAACGCTCATTGTTGGGAAGCAACGACGCGTTCTGTAAACCGCAGCCCCGATGAATACCGGCGAGTAGCAACGCGTAATGTACGTCCGCATAGTGGTTACGTGACCGGGGAACGAAAATAGATGCACCCACCCATTTTCCGTCACGCCAACTCGTGCACGCGGTCGCGAGATAAGCTCCGCGAGCACGTTTTCAGGAACAATAATTCCGTGTCCAGGAATAAAGAAACGCGACGACTAGGTTCAACAGCCTGGATAGGTGCGTGTTGCTTTCGCGGATTTGTACGGCGAACGGGAACGGGTTGACGTTCCGTACGAAAAGAATGCCGTTGGTTATTATGATTTGTTAGAGGCCGGACCGTATTCGAGCGGCGATTTTCGAAATATTCTTAACGGATCTCGTTAGCAGAAGTTCTGAAACGCATCGAGGAAAGTGTATAAAATTTCAACACGATGGCACACACATTCCACTCTTAGTTTTAGTAAACAATTATTCGACGTTATTAGAAGTTTACAATGGTTAACACTAGATTCACGGAACGAGCCAATTTGACTCGTGAATGTTATAAACATTTGATCTCCTAGATCTAAGCGGACGAACATCAATCTTTCTGGGAACAATAGAATAAACTGTATAATAAGTGACCGTAAATCTAGTGTTGACGGTGACGGGGAAAAACGAAGTTCGCAATACACGGAGGGCAACAGGTAAAGAATCGGGTAATCGAAGGTAAACGAATGGAACACGATAGGAATCGCAGCTGAAATGGATTCAGCATGAAATAGAAAGCAAGAACGCGGGCAGGTCGCAGCGAGTTAACCGGTTCACGGAGCCGTGTTAATGCGAAAGATGAAGCTTAACAGCGTCTACGCTGAAATATTGAGATGCAACGCGGGGGTTGAAACTCGAGCCGGCATTAACGAAATTCAATTAAATGGCCTGATGAGACTTTGTAACCGTAAAGCACGAGTTCCCCCGACATCCGCCGGGCGAAGGGAACTTCTGGAAACGCTCGCGAAAGTTCCGCTCCCCCATTGATTCCGCCGAAAAGCCCGTAACGCGTTGTCAAATGCGCGCACGGTTTCGCCGGGGAAGTTTTTAATATCGCAGCGCGCGTGCACAGGATCGAAACGCACCGTTCTCCGGCGCGGAACACAAGCCGAACAAGTTTCCCGGCGTCTAGGAAGATTAAAGGTGCATCCAATTTGGCAGAAGTAAAAGTTCCCGCGGGAAGCTGCGTCGACAACGCGGCGCCGCTTCCTGTAAACCGGTCCCCGCGTTCCTCGTCAAAGGCTTAGGGGACAAGGTCTCTGTGCACGAGGGTGCACGCGGAGAAATTATGCAATAACTGCGCCGCTACGAAATGCGGGCGACGCGCTGGTAATTCTACTTGAACAGTATAATGATACGAGGGGAGGGCGAGGCCTCGTCAAAGTAAGCCGAGGGACTAAAAGGGACTTAACCCTCCAGTGCATAATTCATAACGCATTA